TATATATATATATACATATATATATATATATACATATATATATACACAAATTATGTTCGCTCACACACACAAACACACGCTACATAGGCTCAAAACCAGGCACAAAGGCTCACATGCACTCGATTGGCATTAGATCTAAAACAATATAAGTTTAATTATAAAGCTCTTTTAGGTTTTTGTTTCTAACAGTTGGCAGGTTTTAATTCGCATATCAATGGGGACAGTGGAATGTGATCCCCTTTATGGTCGGCAACTCTGAATAGACTTTGCAACAATGTAGTTTTATTTCCATATAGATTGGGAATTGAATATAGAAGCTGTTGCAATTAGCCCCCGAGAGCGGAGGGAAGGCAGCGCCACGGGCCGACGCCGGTTCAGCTCTATTTATTTGAAGCTTCGAACACAATAACACCGGCTATTATTCATTTCGGTTCCCCTCTCACCTCCCCTCGCCCGTCTCCGTGTCCCTCTTTTCCCTTCCCTGCCCTGTTCTTTCCGTGCAATGGTACTTGCTCGGTACTTGCTTGCTCGAGTTTATTTTTGGTGCTCTGTGTATTGTGTGTGTGAATGGATGTGGTTAGTCTTACTTTCTCTCTTGTTCTTTCTTTTTCTTTTTCTTTTTCTCTCTATCTCTCTCTCATTTTCTTTCTTTCTTTCTTTCTCTCTCTCTCTGTCTCTCTCTCTCTGTCTCTCTCTCTCTCTCTCTCTCTCTCTCTCTCTCTCTCTCTCTATCTATCTATCTCTATCTATCTCTCTCTCTCTCTCTCTCTCTCTCTCTCTCTCTCTCTTTCTCTCTCTCTTTCTCTCATCCATCCTCTGTCCTCTACCTACGCCCCCTCCCTCTCCCTCTCAGCTTATTGTTCAGATGAAAAAGGAATGAGGAACAGACAGAGATACAAGAATATTTATAGTTTCATTGTCATGCAGTAATGGATAATATTGTTAAATGCACTATTTTTTGTCGCAGCCGAGCGAATTCAGCCTGACAGGTCCTTTCACATTGTATACGCTACATACCATTGTGATGCAGCCGAAAAATCTGTCCTTTTCTCTCTCTCTCTCTCTCTCTCTCTCTCTCTCTCTCTCTCTCTCTCTCTCTATCTATCTATCTATTTAACTATCTATCTATCTGTCTATCTAACTATCTATCTATCTACCTCTCTATCTATCTCTCAAGCCCGTTCTCACTCTTCCATTGTATCTGTCCTTGTCAAGCACATAAATGAAAAAAAATGTGTGCGCGAATACTAATTAATGATTAATGGAAGTGAAAAACACGCGACTACACCTACGTATTTATGCTTCGTTCGGAACTCCTTCTTTTGCTCGTCCAGACAACTTGTCAGGACCAGCAGGACAACGAGGCCGCGTTCGGAACCTCTGAGGCCTCTATTGCCCACAGTGCAACCAGTCGAAAGAAAATATTCACTATTTTATCAAGCCGGTCTTTTTATTTTACGCACTGCTTAATTGTAACTCCTTTATGGTACAAATATCTTACTTACAAGTGACAGACATAAAAATACCCTTTAATAACAACAATAAAGGGCCATACAATCACCTATCAATATCTTATGGTTGCTTGCATTGTTTATATACAATTGCTAGAGTGACGTCATCTCGTCCTGCTCGCCCAACTGCGAGAGGCCGAGATGGACGAAATCGGCTACTTGTCCAGGACGTGAAAGTAAGGAGTCCGAACGATCAAAACATCCTGTCCATCTTGTCCTACTTGTTAGACGAGGAGTTCCGAACACAGCTTTTATACCTACAGACACCTACGCAAACACTTTACACCCTTTCATACCACCTACATCCCATCACACACACGCACACACACACACACACTACCGACACCTATTTATTCATATTCAGACCTTCGTTCCTCCTCGAATTGTCACCCTATTCTCCCAGCGAAAGGTATTCAACTGCCGGATGTACCCTGACTTCATTATGATAATGAGATACCCCGAAAGCCTCTTCCCGACGCCGCTTCTGAGGTGCTTTCCCCGTTAAGACAACACCGTCGCCCGTCGGGGGCCTCACGGAACCTCATAGCGCCGGGTTACGTAGTGGTTTGTTTATCTTGCGTGTCCCAACTTCCTTATCTCCGGACGTTCAGATCGATGATAAGGCGCGTTGGTCGTGAGTCATCAGTGCAATGGAGGGTTGGATTGGATTTGCCTTAAAGCCGTTAGAAGAGATTAGCTTTCGATTTAAATTCACAATTTATTAAATCATTCCCACTAAAATATAAAAGATACAGAAGTTGTAATTTCTTTTTTTTTCTTTTTTTTTCAATTTACTGTACCTTCCTCTTAGTTTGCAGTTGATCTTTCTGCAACGCTCTTCCCCAACGTCAATATCCAGTCATCAGGCTTTGATAATACGATCTTCCCTTTAAGTACCCGCATCTGATCCGCCTCCCCCTTCGTCTAGTTAATCATCTATTTACATTCTTGTGTTTACAAATGACCAGTCAACCCGTGAATCCCCAAAT